TGAACACAGCCTTGCATTTGGTGAAAGGGGATGTGTTTAAAATCATGTGCAAAAGCAACTGTTCCTATTTCTTTCTCTCTAAATGCAAGATACTCTTTTTAATTTACATCTGTAAGTATTCATGTGCATCACCAGTATCGAAAAAATGCAAAGCATTCCCAAAATATGTTATTTTCACAGATTACAATACATACTGTGACAGACCTACCTAACACGCTACAAAACTGCAAAACGTTTCTACTAGTACCCCTTGTTGCCAATGCATCTCACGAGCATGAAACCTGTTAATCTGCTGGGAAAAACAAGTATGGAAGAAGCGGTCCCAGAAGAAGGGGCTGGGGTAGCTGACAGAACAGGTACTGGCCCCAGCTCTCACACAAAGCCCGACAGCTAACAGTATGTGACAATAACAGCAGTATTTGTCAAATGTAGATAACATTAAGAAGTTTACCCACTTTGCACCTCAACACTGCAGTAACCAGTTGATATCCTAAGCTTCTCTTATCTGCCATCTCTGAAAACACTACCTAACAGTTGCTCATCACACGCTATCCCTGAAAGCCAGGTGGTATATCACAAGGAGCTTCTTGTCTTTGAGGTAATTGTCATGGATCTTCAGTTTAAACAGCAGCTACTTGTGCTAACAAAGTCCAGAACTCCCGAGACAATTTCATCAATGTCTCAATACTAAACTGAAATTTAACTGTACTGAGTTCGCAAGAGCTACCTACCTTGCCAGGGGAAACGCACCTTGAACACCCTGGGACTTCAGAAATCTTTCACTTCCATGCACATCTGTTGCACTGAACCCAAGGCCCTTGAATTTACAAAGTCTCTAACTCCTGAGCTAAAGGAGCAATTCCAAGATCAGCAGACTTGCAAACAACCTACACTCTAGATTTTATGGGAGGAAAAAAATCCCAGCTATTTGCCTCTTGTCAAGTTTGCCAACTAAACAGTAAACAGAACATTTTACCAACTGTCTTGTCATAAATCCTACACTAGTGATGTATCGACTTATTTCCTATGCCAACACTATACATCATGAATAAAAATGGTCAATAATGTTTTTTCACTACTGACAAATCAAACATTTCTTAAGTATTAAATATTTAATCTAATTATGCTGTATTTTTTCTGCTGTCTTCTCCAATGTCCTCATCGAAAGTAATCGCAATTATAATTGGAGAAACTATTGCGACTATTCTAAAACTTTTTAAAAGGGAAAATGAAAAATAACAACATAAAATTATTTTACCAGTATAACTGGCCATTATTTGTCTGTATAACTCATGAAGTTTATTAAACAAAATGTGTTTGAAATAAATGTTTAAAATGAAAGCCCAGATTTGCCAGAGACTGTCTTTGTCTTACTTGTCTCAACGTAAGTCTAATATTATAATACCCTTTTTATGAATGAAGTTGAAAACTGCAAACCTTTCTTCTAGTTAGCAGAGTTGGGCAATACAAGCTTTTGCTAAAAAGACTAACTCAACATCAGTCAAGTATCTACAAATTTTGAAAAAGCTACCAACCTCATCTCCCCTCCCCCCCCTTTTTTTTTCTGGTTTGTAGGAGAGAGTCAGAACGTTGGGAAGCTGCAAAATTTGGAAGCAAGCCTCTTCTTAGGTTACTGTTCTAGCCCAAATCAGAAAATATAGATGCCTCAGATAAATGTGAAAAATTTCACACACAGTTTTAACACCCAAGAATTCCAACAGTAGTTAATATTCACCAAAATAAAATTTCTGAAAACTACATTTGACCATAATTGCCAATTAAATTACTAGCGTTGATAGCAACAGGAGAGCTTCCAGTGAGAGGAAATAATTCAGTGAAATGGGCTGCAATAAGACCTCTTACAGGAAGACTTCGGCATACTTTACTGTATATAATATATATTATAATATATTATTGTATATTATTATATATTATAATATATATTGTAT